GTGCCTCATGTTTTAAAATAAATATATTCTTTGTATAGAACATATATCTTAAATAAATTAGAAAATATTAGCATACAATTTTTTTCCCTTGATAAACCAGTTGGACTTATTTTTGTGCTTGTCACATTTTGGTACTGAAAAGCATAAATACATTAAAAATGTATTTATTTATAGCCAATTTATATTTTCTTTCTGCAAAATGCTTTTGTTTTGATTAAACACACACACACATATATATATAGACCACAGCCATGTGGGATGCTTATTTGGTTGTTACCAGTTATTGATTTCTGAAATCTTTCTGTGTTAAAACAATAGTGTCGTTTCTAAATTAATATGAACTTGTTTCCTTTGCATTACTTGAGGTCCGAGCACTGCATCTTTTTCATTATTTTGACCATTTCTCATTTTCTGCAAATAAATGCAAAATTTTTGCTTGGAATTGAAGAGAGATGTCGTTAGTAAGTCATAGAATAAAAGACGATGTTTATTTTACTCAACAATTTTACTTCTTCGCAGCAGTGCCTCATCTGCATTAGATGTGCAGAGCACTGCGCATGTCAGGGTCTAATTAACTTCTGTACATTTATTTATTTCCTCAAGATAAACTTCTGGCTCCTCAGTTTAGACTATAAATTATAAATAAATTGATCAACACAACGTTGCATTCTCTTTAGTTTGCCCTGGTCTGTAACGGAGACTGGAATTAAATTCACCTTTCCAACCAAAGGTTTGTAATGCGCTTCTGAACCAGACGCTCCAAAGCATCCGGTCCATAACTCTTCAACACGCTGTCAGCTCCTGGTCAGAAAGACGCATTTAGTTCAGAGTGCATGACACGATATTCAGAAAGGATTTTTTTTAATTGATTGATTTTAGTTGCCTCTGTGATGAACTCTTTACGTAAAGTCTGTAACGTCTGCCCATGTGCAAAAGTCAAGGGTGTTAATTATAACCTGTCAAAATGAAGATTCAGCTTCAGCTAAAAATAAACAAAAAACGGTCAAATTTCGTTAAGGCAACCCCTGATATGAGCTGAATGGCCTCCTTTAAGCGTACGGAGAAACAATCACTTGATGATCCTGATCTATAAATCTCTACTCGGTTTGGCTCCAGCATATTTAAACTCTCTTTTACATAGTTCTGTTAATACCCATTCTTTACGTTCCAACAACATTTTTCTTTTGCATGTTCCACACTGCCGAACTGAAAAAGGAAAGCAAGCTTTCAGTGTGATGGCTCCTTCAGCCTGGAATCAGCTTCAGTCTGAAATCAAGATGTCAGATTTGATTTCACTGGATTTATTTCGAGCGATTCTTAAAAACAGGCAACGAGAATCTTTTAAACAGTGTCACTGTTTTTAAATTGTTTTATTCTGTTTTATAATTGTGTATATGTAGTATTAATCAATTTTGTTTTGTAACCAGGTTGCTGTGTACTGCAGACTTCTGCCCAGGTCCCCCTTGAGACTAGATCTCAATGGGGTTTACCTGGTTAAATAAAGGAAAAAAAAAATACTGTCTGTCTGCCATGTATGTATATATACACAGTGTATAACAAAAGACAGACACTCCAGTTTACGTTGCATAAATTATCATAAATCTTCAGAAGTACACCCCTCACATTTATGCAGATATTTAAGTATATCTTAAGTTTCTTAAGTGTCAATATTTTGTGTGCCCAGCATTATTTCTGGGCATGGAGTTTACCAGAGCTTCACAGGTTGCCACTGGGATGCTTTTCATGTCCTCCATGATGACATCACAGAGCTGGCAGATATTCAAGACTTGGTGCTCCTCCACCTTCTGCTCGAGGAAGATGGAGGAGTCCCAAAGATGTTCTATTAGATTTAGGTCTGGAGACATGCTTGGCCAGTCTATCACTTTTACCCTCAACCTCTTCAATAAAGCAGTGGTCGTCTTAGAGGTGTGTTCAGGGTCATTATCATGATGGAACGTTGCCCTGGAGGGCCTCAGGCTCTGTTTCTGTAGTTCACAGTACAGATTGGAGTTCATGAAATGCAACTCGCCAACACCTGCTGCACTCATGCAGCCCCCGACCATGGCATTCCCACCACCATGCTTGACTGTAGGCATCACACACTTATCTTTGTACTCTTCACCTGATAGCTGAAACACATCTGAACCAAACAAATTAATCTTGGTCTCATCGGACCACAGGAGCTAGTTCCAGTAATCCATGTCCTCTGTTGACATGTCTTCAGCAAACTGTTTGCAGGCTTTCTTGTGTACAGACTTCAGAAGAGGCTTCCTTCTGGGGTGACAGCCATGCAGACCTCACAAGAGTAATCTCACCAGTATTCCTCCTCCGACAGTCATTCATCTTATAAGAAGCACATTTCTTTTTTACTTTGGTTGATGAGTGGATGTCCCACTGCCCGTTCACTTAGCCATGATAGGTTGTGTGTCTCTTAACTCCGCCGCACTGTTCCTACCTAGCTAATCTGCACGGTGCCACAGCGCATATGACCAAGACACGTAGACACAATACTATGCAATGATTGGCTGCGTAGCGAAAGTGAACCGTATCGTATCATTGACTGGACACTTGTGACTCACTGAGTTAGATCGTTATGTGTTATTGGTCCATAGTCAAAACTGATGTCTGAGCTCAATGTTCAGTTTATTTGGATTTTATTTTATGCGCTGCATAGATTTTATTGTGTGCTGAAAATGTACGAGCAGTGCGCGATTGCGCAGGCAAGCAGCTTAGAGGGAACATTGACGACAAGCAGCGGTCAGTTCGGACATTTTGTTTGCGGTGGTTTAGACATTAATGGCTGTATATAGAGTTATTTTGAGGGAAGAATACATTTACACTGTTGTATAAGCTGCACACAGACTGCTTTTCATTGTGATAGTGTCATTTTGTCAGTGTTGTAACCAGAGAACAGAATTTACTCGGGTTCAGATAGCAGTTTACTATCAACCAGTTATGTTTATTACAAGTTACTGGACTGAAACACATCCAACCTCATCTCAACTCGGTTATACAGTTTTTCTGGAAAACCAACAAAGAAAAACATTCACTCCAAACATGAGTGGAATATATTCATTGTGCTCATTTCACTTGAACACACTTCTGAACTGTGTGGAACAAATGATATTTGTCTCTGTAGCAAGTCCTCTCAATATGAAAATAAAATAAAATAAAATTTAGATGACAAAGAATCCTTTCAGGGTCCTCGGTAGAAAAATAAAATTACGGTAAAAAGCTGACCAGCAAAAAAAAAAAAAAAAAAAAAAATTGTTCATATAGAGCGCTATATTTGTGTGTGTGATGCGTACGAAACAGATCGATGAAAGAGGTTGTCCTGGCTGGGATGGCGACCCAGAATGACGATGGCAGCGGCGTCCACAGACACGGAAAACCCTGCAGCTTCTTTCTCTTCCTCCGCAGGCACAGGAGCCCCTTCCCAGAGTTCCTTTCCCGATATCGGCCACAATACTGCACTAGCAGGAAAACATCATGTATCAGGCATAAAGAAGTCAAGCGCTATGCAGAAGGTAGCCAGAGACTAGCATGTCTCTACTCCGCAGCAGCTCAAACTCCGAAGCCTGGGAGTCATAGACATAATATAAGGATAGACCCTCATGGACCGCTCTCGCCTTTTGTCGCTGACGAGATTTAGGGCGGCCATCTTGGAGCAGTACACCGCTCCACTCAGCGTTATGTGTTTAGCAATGTCTGTGGAGCCCTCACATCAATAATCCATAGATCCGAACAACAATATCCCTCAGTGCTGAGGCATCTTCTGCTGTTTTGATTGAGCAAAGTAGGAGGGTATACCGCTCCAAGATGGCCGCCGTATTTCCTGCGCCGGAGCGGCCAATGCGGGGTCTACTCTTATGTCTATGCCGGGAGTTCCCCTAGTAACTGTAGTCGGAACGCTGCCGTAAAGTGATGTCGTACTTGGCTCTTAAAGGGACACTACTCATAAAGTAAAAATACAGAAAAGCAAATAACACAGAATAATAAAAATACAAATAAAATACAGCTGGGTTACATAGTCCCATGAAAAGATATACTTAAATATCTGCAGAAATGTGTGGGGTGTACTCACTTTTGTGATACACTGTGTGTGTGTGTGTGTGTGCTTGTGCGTGCGTGTGTGCTTGTATGTATGTAAGTATGCGTGTATGTGTGTGTGTGTGTGTATATATATATATATATATATATATATATGTGTGTGTATGTCTGTCTATATGTGTATGTGTTTATGTGTACATATAAATAGAAAGCTGAGTTTAAAATAAATCCATGTTTTTCCATTTCCATTCTTTAAAATCTGAATTTCTGGCTGATAGTTCAGCTAAAAGTGAATGATTTGTGCTCAGAAAGCTGCATTGGGTTCTTTGGCATCAGCGTTCTCTTGCTTCACCATGCAGCAGCAGAACTGATGTGTTAAACTGCAAGAGGAAGAGGACAAAGCAGCAAAATAATTTTCAGAAGTGGCTGCTCACTGCTGCCACATGTTAACCCAGAGTTGGATGGAATGGCCCAGACTCTTTGTCCAGACGCACCACAGCCTTGACTGAAGGCCTTTTCTTTAAAAACGGACAGCAGGGCTGAAGAAAGAGATCTTCCCATCGATCTATTTTATTTAGTCTTTTTTTTTTTTTCTTGTCTGGGCTTCATAGTCAATTTAAATTCAGATTGTGTTGAACTAAATGAAAATGTTGATGTAATCTGAACAAAGGCAGTTTCAGTCAAGTGGACCAGTTTCCACTGATGCATGCCAAGCCTTCCTTTTTTAATGTGCCATTTACCAGTTTCTCTCAACATTCTTATCAGTATATGATTAATCCATCTATCATATGCAGAGAACAATTGTATCATCTAATGGGTGAATGCAAAAACATTTTAGATAGTCTCTAGGACTAATAATATCTTTTTAAAATGCTTGGTGATTCTGAAAATAGAAAAAAATGTCTGTACCTCAAATTTGTTGTTGCTAAATGGTAGCCCAAAACTCAAAGATGGCTTCCAACACCAAGAGCTCAGTTCTTAGGTTGTTCTTCCTGAGAATTCTCAGGAAGAACAGTCTCGGTTGTGCCAGGACTGAAGTGGAGTTAGAGTCCCAGTCACTGAAGTAGGTGCCCAGGAACTTGAAATTGGGCACCATTTCCACCCTCTCCCCATTTATAATGATGGCCTGAATGTTTACACCCCCTAAATATATATGTTGGAGTGTCACTGAGTTTGTTGGCAAATGGCCTTTTATACAGGGACATATGTCCCTGTATGACATATGTCTCTAATGCGTTTAAGTTCCTTCGACTTGGAGGTGTTTAAACGGAGGTGGTTAGTGGAGCACCAGGCAGACAGTCGTTCCACCTCCACTCTGTATACCATCTCACCTCCTCCAGAGATGAGCCCCATCTCCGTGAGATCTGTCAAGAAGTCTATGATCCAGTAGCAGATGTTTTGGGGGAGACCCAGGTCCTCCAGCTTCCTCACCAGTCTGCTTGGAATGATGGTGTTAAAAGTTGAGCTGATGTCCAGGAAGAACAGCCTCCTGGAATGCTCTTCCTGGAGCAGCAACACAGGAGCCCCACAGGGCACTGTATTCTCACCAGTCCTTTTCACTCTCTGTACTTCAGATTTTCAGCACAAATCTGACTTCTGTCATCTGCAGAAATACTCCGATGATTTAGCCGTTGTTAGGTGTATTAAAGATGGACTTGAGGCTGAGTACAGAGCTGGTGGACCACTTTGTGTCATGGTGTGGGATTAATCGTCTCATCTCTAATGTGAACAAAACAAATCAAACAATCAAGTTTATTTGTATGGTACGTCAAAAACAAGGCAGTTCAAAGTGCTTTCCATCAAAAAACACACTTGCACACAAATACAAACTTGCAGAGATGTTGGTCTTCTAATCCTGGAAATGTTCTTCAGGTTAAGGTCCAGTCCATAACTACACCTACAGTGGAGGAAATAAGTATTCAATCCCCCACTGACTTAACATTTTTTTAGACAAAAACATAAATAAAATGTCTCAATTTTATTTTAACAGGCACAGAGAATATCAAAAGAAAAACTGAGAAAATTACATGAAATGAGAAAAAAATAATTTGAATTTTATTGAAGGAAATAAGGGATTGAGGTCAGACTGAATAGGCCATTCCATAACCTTGATATGCTTCTTATGAAGCCACTTTGTTTCCTTGGCTATATGTTTTGGGTTGTTGTGCTGGACGATCCATCCACCACTCATTTTCAATGCCCTGGTGTAGGCAAAGAGGTTGTCACCCATGATTTTGCGATACATGGCCCCGTTCATCTTTGGTGAGGTGAAGTTGACCTGTGCACTTAGAAGAAAAACACCTCAAACACAATACTTCCACCACCATGCTTGACAGTGGGGATAGTGTTCTTAAGGCCATATTCTGTATTTTTCTTCCTCCAAACACAAGTTGAGTTGCAGCCAGAGAGCTCAAGCTTGGTCTCATCTGACCGATGCACCTTCTCCCAGTCTCTCTCGGAGTCATTAATATGTTCATTAATGAACATATTAAGGCCTTAAGGCAAACTTAAGGCGGGCCTGGACATGAGCCTTCTTGAGCAGATTTTAAACCATTAACGCTCAGGGGTAATGGTTACCGTACCGCTCAAACCAATGGTTTTTCTTTGGAGGCTGTGGCCCCAGCTGCCTTGAGATCATTAACCAGCTCCTCCCGTGTAGTTCTTGGCTGATTTTTATTCTCATGATCAATGTCTCTCCATGAGCTCCAGGCTTAGGTGTATTGACAGTAATGTTGTACTTGTTTCACTTCCAAATAATTGCACCAATAGTTGTCACCTTCTCATCCAGCTTCTTACTTATTGCTTTATAGCCCATTCCAGCCTTGTGTAGGTCAACAGTTCTGTCACTGACATCTTAAGACGGCTCTCTAGTCTTGTCCATGGTGGAGATGTTGGAGTGTCACTGAGTTTGTTGGCAAATGGCCTTTTATACAGGGACATATGTCCCTGTATGACATATGTCTCTAATGCGTTTAACAACTTCACTGACTTCATAATTTATTTTCTAGAGTTTCTTTTTGATATTATATCTCTCACTGTTAAAATTAAGCTACCATAAAAATCATAGACTGCTTAATTATTTGTCAGAGAACAAACTTTCAAAATTGGTTGTGGATCAAATACTTATTTCCTCCACTTAAATAAACAAAGGAGATTACTGCAGATTTCAGGAAACACAGGGTTAGATCAAACCTTATTCCCATCATGGGAGAAGAAGTGGAGGAATAGAAATACCTCGGTGTTCACCTAGACAACTGACTGCAGAGATAACAGTGATGCCGTCTATAAGAAGGGACAGAGCAGACTGTTCTTCCTCGGGAAGCTAAGATCCTTCTACAAGTCTGTTGTTGAGAGTTTAGTCTCTTCTCCCGTCATCTATTGCAGCATCAGAGCCAGAGACCTAAAAAGGCTGATCTGGTTTGGATCCGACTCTGTTCTATGGATGGCTATGGAATTTCCCCAGAACACAATGCAAAGAAGGATTCTTCATAAAATCAAGAAAGCTATTCATAACCCTAACCATGCTCTTTATGAGAAAGTCTGCAGAAAAACAGTGTCTTTACTCAGTCTTCTTAATTTAATTTCTCTTTGGGATCAATAAAGTATTCTTGAATTTTGATTTTTTTTTTAATAAAGCCTTTTGCATTCTGTGGCAATAAGAAATCAGCATTTTCATCTTATAATATTGACATTAAAGTGATTTCTGTTGTCTCATTTGATTGAATCCACTTTAATTAAATTAAACAGGATTGTTTAGAGTTGTTGAAACATGGTAGCTACTGTGTGCTTTATGATCTTTTTCTGTTTGTGCATCAGGTACCTGTATGCTGTAGGACACAGAGTCTGGAAACGCTGGAAAAAGAGATATTTTCTTCTTGTTCAGGTAAGATGCTCCTGCGAGTTTGCAACAAAGTTTGGATGAATTTAGTAGGTGTAGAACCTCAGATCAGAGATCCTTGGGCTCCAGAGGATGGACTACATATAAAACTATATTTACATATAGAACTAAAGGCCAGGGTTTATATTTCACCTGATGGTTTTTTCCTAATCAGAGTGTAGTTTTTAGTCAGGTCTTGCTGTAGTGCCCTTTTGGCAAACATTCTCCACCAGTAAAATCTGTTTGAAACCTTCTTTTGTCCCTTATTTACTAAAAAATGGTCAGTTGAAAGAAAATCAAAGAAACGAAAAAGAAATCTCCTCTTTTTCATAGATTTCTCACCTAATCTAAACTCAAGATTAAATTATTTAATCTGTACTATACTTTTCATGAACTTCCATTTGCTTTCTGAGCACTTACTCCGGATCTTTGTACGTCAAGAGAAAATAAGTGAAAAATCATTTTATGTTTTTGTGAAATGTGGCTGCTTGGTTTACTCTAATTGAAACTCCTTCAAAGGCTAAAAAGATCAAGTCTTTGGACTGAGGATCTACATTCACCGGTACATCAAGATTTCCATTGTCTGAGTGTTTCAACATGGAATGGCCATTATTTAGTGGTTCACAGTGAGAAGAAAGAATTCATGGGAACATGGATTTTTACAATATATTCTAGCCTGGTAAAAAACAGCACCTTATTTTACACTTTGCTTCATCCAGAGGGTCTGGGCCCTCAGCTGTTGACAAACAACTGCTTTCTGGAGGTGTGGACTGTGTTGAGGATTTATATTTTACTCAGTCACTAACATTTGTCTGTGGTGTATATAATGTTCCAGTTTGACGCTATGAAGTTTAGTGGATATTGGCTGCAAACATCCTTCACTGCGAAGACAGAAGAGCTGAGCTAAATGAGGCGATGTCGTATAGGCTTCGCCCTTTAAGACTATCGCTAGTGGGTTAATCCCTCTCGCGCAGCACAGCACTGAAAACAGCTGTTGATGTGAATTCAATACTTGGAAGCGTGGCCAACGCAGACAGAACAGTTTCCTTCACTGCCTCCACTGCCATTGACAAAACTACAGGCAGACTACAATTCTAAAAAACGCAGAAAATCATCTTCAACATTCACAACATTTCCTCCTGTTCACTGACTGGTCCACTAGAAAATCTACCAGAGAAAATCTGTGAAGGGGAAAAATCCCAGACTGAGCTGTGAAGTGACATTTGAACTGAGCGGAATAGCACAGGAAGGCAACGACCAGGCTAATTATATACAAACAAGTGTTAAAAACAAAAAGGAGGAAAAAAAAAACTGTAATGTAAATTCATGATTTATTGCTGGCTGTAAAAAGTATTCATACACTGATTTTTTTCACCTGTTGTCATGTTACTATATATGTAGGTCAGAATTGTAAAGTACAAGATAAGTAGTCTGTTTTAAAAGTGTGGCTTGCATTTACAATGTACGGAAATGAAACACTTTCTAGAAACTTTAGGTGCGCTAGCAGTTTTCCCCCCAGCCCTGTGCAACAGCTCAAATCTACTGAAAATTCATTTTTGTCTGTTTTTTAGACCTCTGAAGTAAGATATGTTATTAAAGTTGTATGAAATGTGAAGTTTAGAGATTTGATGTGACAAAATGAGAAAAATATGATGTGTGAACTTTTTGTCTGAATTATTGAAAAATATCATTATGTTTGATATCATTGTGCCAGTGCTTTGCTTTCTACTACTTTAGTACCAAAGAATTTGTCAAAAAAGAGAGAAAGATTAGATGTATTGATAATTGATCATGCTCATTTTGGAGGTGCAACTATGTGTTTGTTTCCTTTAGGTGAGTCAGTACACATTTGCAATGTGCAGCTACAGAGAGAGGAAAGCTGAGCCTCAGGAACTGATGCAGTTGGAGGGCTACACTGTGGACTACTGCCAACCTCAGACAGGTAGACTACGTGGAAAATGCTGATCATCTACATATATTTAGAGAAAAATGAATTATGGAATCCATTTGCTTTTCCAGACTTTCCTAATTTCCAAAGGATTAAAGCATAAGTTTTAATAAAGTAAAAGTGTTTAGATATTTTAATTTTAACAGATTATGATGTACTTAAGGGGGAAGTATTATATAAAACCGATTTTTTTGAGTTTTGCATCATGTTATAATATTCCTTCATCAAAAACACACCAGGGGCCTCATGCATAAATCGTGCGTATGCACAAAAAATGTGCGGCTCCATATTTTATGCACAAGTTTGCATGTATAAAAATTTACTTTGCATCAAAGTTTGCGTAAATATACGCACACTTTTTCCCTGTCATGAAAATGTGCGTCAGCCACACAAACTTTTTCTATGAACATTATCAAGCTACAAAGCGTCAAAACTCACCTAAATCCACTGAAACCTGATGACATTCAGTGTTTTTCAGACCAAGAAGCATCAAACTCGATGTTTTTTTTATGATTTTAACATTTTATTGCTTAGACACAAACGTTGAAACTGAACCACACTTATCCTCAGAAAATAACCTAACATGCTCACAAAATAAGGAAAATAAAAGGATGTGTGTTTAAGGCTATCGCTAGCAGGTTAACAGCAAAGCAGGATGTAGTCTATGCCTCACTGGGTCCATCCAGACCACCACCATGAAGCATCGCACAAAAACAGTCTCAGCCTAGAGTGTGTAATTACGCACTCCTGGCCTCCCATACAGCAGAAGACCAGAGAGGAGAATAACATCTGGTCAGAAAGGTTGAGACAAACAGACCTGCTGCTGTGAACAGGAACGACGAACATTACTGTAACAGTGTAACGATGAACAGAACAGGTAACTTATTATACAGCACTTTGTATAAAGTCCTGTATAATGCTGTGTATAAGCAGCACAACGAGTGCTGCTTATACACAGCATTTATACCAAGTGCTGGTATAAGCAGCACTTGTTGTGTCTGACATGCTTTGGAACCATACATGGCAGCTGAGCAACCTGAAGACCTCTGGAGAGGAGTGTCAACTGATTCTTCCCGGTGACAGTAATGACAGCAGCGGGACTCCTCATGTGGTGGCCGGGTCACTGCTGGTCCATGGCAGTGGCCCTCTGATGTTTTCCTGCTGCTTACATGTAGCTTGGCATCCTCTGAAAATGTGACCCGGATGGCCACATTTGAAGCAATGGGTGCAGTCGCATGCTTTTCCGTTGCTCTGGCAAGTTCTGCAGCCTCTCTTTCTTCTTGCTACCCCCAACATCTGATGTCCTCTTAGGGTAAGGGTTTGGGTTTAAATTTGGTCGAGAACCAGCCTCCAAACCTAACTCTATATACATATTTTGGTAATACCAGAATGTTCACATAACTTTTATACTTTTGGCTGTCTGAGGATACATTTTGAATATTAAATAAGGTGTTATGATCAGTGACTCAGTACTTGAGTAGTTTACCAAATATTTTTTGCACTTGCTTAATTAAATGTGTTTAAGGTATGCTACTTTGACAAAAGTACAATTTTGGGGTTCTCTAACTTTATAAAAACAAAAAACACCGCCATTGAAGTCGACAGACGTCCCACCCCATGAGAGTAGGACGACACGCCGTGGTGAGCGTCTCTTATTTTGATTTCTGAAAGGTGGCAACCCCAGCCACTTCTGTGCTTTTTTTCATAGCTTCCTTCATCTTATGATCTTGTGACAATACTGTTGGCTCCCATTGCTGAGCAACTTTAAAATAAACCATGTGGGCGTGACATAAACAGCTCCATCCATTATACCATCATCCAGTTTATTTCGACAAAGGTGCAATCAAATAAACAGTTAAAATCTTAATTACCTACATTCAAATTTAATGCAAGTTGTGATACAGTGTAACTCAGTTTATGATGCCATAACAACGCATCGTATTGACGCCTCTTTGGAGGAATAAATCTTTTGAGGTTTAAAAGACCATCTATGGTAAGAGAAAATCTATAGTAATAAGAGAAAAATTATCTGGCATATGCTTTGCTTATACAACTAGCTCATCAAGCTTACTCAGTTTTCCTAATTTCTTTTTTGTTTTTGCCATTTTTAGGTCTGCAAGGTGGCCAGGTGTTTTTTAATGCTGTAAAGGAGGGCGACCTGGTGACGTTCGCCTGTGATGACGAACAGGACAGAGCGCTCTGGGTTCAGGCTCTGTACAGAGCCACGGGTCAGTCATATAAACCAATCCAACCAACACACAACAAAGCTGCCAACTGCAAAGGAGGACACAGAAAACCATCATCTATCAGTAGGTGTCACTGGGTTTTAATGACTGTTTTTAATGACTGATCATAAAAAAGGTTGTCATGTTAATAATGTTCAAACTTTGTACTCAGAGTAAACATTAATGTTGATATCTCCATTGTTTCCCACTAAGAACCTCAAAGGCCTGATGTAGGACTTGTTGGAGAATGTTCTTGCCTGTTGTCTTTTCCTCAGTGTTGGCATGTAAGGCAAAAAAATCACACAAAAAAATTCTCGGGTAATGTCTTGAGTTCCACTATCTACGTTATAACACTTTGTCTGACGTTTGCTCTTCTGCATGGGGGCGGAGTCGGTGCCATGTCAATTGCAAAGCCAATGGGTACGGCTCACAGTAATCTCAACAGCACAGAAAAGATCCTGATTACAACTTTGGAATTGTGGCGGACACAAACGTATTTCACAGCAGAATGTAGACTTTTATTGTGAAGGAGAGAGAGGAGGAGAAGAAAAGATCAAGGGCTGTTCCTCATTCTTTTTCTGGTTTTTGGGTGTTGGAAGACATTGAGAATAAAGTGAAACTCAAAATACTTTTTTGTCTCTTTCTGCTGACGTCCACATTGGTGAACCCGAACATCTGGCTCAGGAGATGTTTCCATCCTTTTCACGCACCTGTTTACACGGCAGCTTCCTCCACCTGTTCGCACCACACTGACCAGCTCCGGACAAACGACTATCGCTCCCTGGCATCCAGCTACTAGTGTGCATGCACTTTTACCAGGTGTGACTCAAGCGGGGGTCGGAGATTGTTGATGCCGTGTCTGCGGTGACAGAGTGGCGGAAGGACGTCGTTCTCTGCTTCTATCATCACCATTTGGAGTAAAGGCGAAGTGCTGCATTTCTCCATCTTCATTCACGCGGCAGAACACATGGTGCACCTCTGTCAGTTGTTTGTTCGCTCAGTTTGTGAACCCAATGCCAGTTCGGACTGCCTGCTGTTGAAGTCCAGGGACACACAGTGTTGTCTCAAGGGACGGTTCTCCTACCTGCCAAGGCTGAAGCTTTTCCCGGCCCTCCCTCAGTGAAACTCCTGCAGGAGTTTTTGGGGATGGTGAACTTTATAACTGTTTCATCCCATGGGCAGCTCATTTTATGCCCTTTGTGCAAAGCATTTGGAGGCAAAAAAGTGGACCAACGGATTAAGTGGAGCCCGGAGAGGGTGTAGGAATAAGCTGCTGCAAAAAAGACCTCGGCTTTTGGCCCTTCTCCTGATGATGGAGGCCAGACGGTGGACAGAACTACTTGGTGGCCAGAGGCGGTTCCGCTGTCGTCAACCACTTCAGTTGATGTGGTATTAATCTCCTCCTGAGTGTCCCGATTTGATGTGCCATTGGATTTGACCTCCAACTGAGGTACCCAGTTCACCTCAAGACTTGTGGACTGCACTGGCAGAGAGCCTTGGGATTAAACTCCACCATACTGCTGCCTACCACCCGCAGGCTAATGGTCTTTGTGAGAGGTTCCACAGCATAATCAAGGCTGCATTGTGGGCCTCATTGGTGGATAATGGCTGCATGGATCACCTGCCTTGGGATTTATTGGGCCTCCTAAATAAGACCTGCAGTTTTCATCAGCTGAGTTGGTCCTGGGCCAGTTTTTGAGGGTAACAGGGAATGCCTGGGTAGTTTCTGTTTGTGTGTTTTGGAGAGGGGACCTAAGGATTTTTTGGTGGAGTTGGGGAGTAATCAAGAGAGTATTTTGGTGGACCTTTTGAAGCCAGTCCACTGGTAACACATGTGTTACCAGTGGACCCGGTTGAGTTGGCCACCTCGTTGTGGTCGTCCCCCAGTTTCTTTGCCCACTCTTCTGGGTTTTCCCCCTACAATAGGGTTGTCCTCCTCAGGTGGACAGTTCTGTAGTAGTTGGTCCGGAGAGTGTCTCAGTTTCAACCTGTTCCCGTATTTCATTTGTTTTGTTACTTGTTGTTGCTATGTTTGTCTTTTTATGTGTTTTACACCTGTCATATGGTTTCACATGTTTTGCGTTTTTGTTTTTGTGATATTCTGTATGTTCAGGAGGGCCTTTGTGGTGGACTCAAATGAAAATATTTCACACCAGAATGTAGGCTCTTATTTTGAGGCGAGAAGTGAGAAGAAATGATCCACAGTTGTTCTGGATTCTTTTTCTGGTTTTGGATGTCGGAAGACATTGAGAATAAGACGAGACTCAAAATACTTTTTGTCTTTTTTGCTGGCTTCCACTGAATCATCAATCATCAAAACAATTTCATCTTTCCCTATAACCTGAGGCTAAAATTACTTTACGATGTAAAAACTTGGCAAAGGGAGAAAGAATTTCATACCATGATGGCTGGATAGAAAAACCCCTTTTGAATGGCGGATTTGAACCACCATTTTAGAATTGTGTTGCTCATGGTGGCAGCACATTGGTGTAGCTTTGTACTTTCATTGAGATTTTTTCTTTTTCATTCCTGCTTTTCTGGGGGAAAAATTAGCTTTTTGTAATTAACTGTTCTTTCTTGTTTTGGATGCTCTGAAGTTGGACAGATTTTTTACAATATTTTTCATACTTTGCTATTCTGATATGCTGTGTAACCTAAGCAACAGTAGCACCTGCAGCTGTGTGTACCTTGGCATTTTCCTTTGAGGTAAAAAAAATAATTTCTATATTTTTATAATGTATATATATATATATATATATATATATATATATATAT